TGACTGTATTTTAGAAAATATTAGTCTACTATAACACAGCCAAGACAGGTTACTTTGTACAGACCAAAGGTCACTTAATGTTATTTAATACAGTTACATGAGTGCATGTGAGCCGCATCATTGTAACTTCTGTATTGTTAGCCAGGCACGAATGAAAGGTCAATATAATAGAAATAATGAATATATATAAATGTATAATTTTATAAGATTTAAGCTATTTAGTCTAAACATTTATGTTTTCATGTTATAATTTATGTTCATTCTAGAATGAAAGAGGCATAATTTATATTTATCTCCTAATTTTTTATGGTGGTTACAAGATCGGTCAAATCTACCGAACCCATACACAGATTAATTACTGAAAATAACAGATAAAATATAAATTTTTCTTAAGAAACATTTGATAACTATCTGGACATTATAAAGATTTCACTTGTGAAATCTGAAAATTTTCTGATGGATAAAAGTATTTTTAATCTTAAAATGAATATTACTTTGCATGTTAGATAGGCAACATGTGTAAAGAAAAAAAAGGCATGAGAAAAACATTGCTTAACAAACCTTAAGACTTATTAAAAAAATTTGATATTTTGTGTATGAAAGCATTGTAATGTTTACTGATAATTTGCCAAATTTAGTAAACATTTACTTACTAATTTAAAAGTTATAGCATGAAAACTATAACAAGCACAATATGGTTATGAGGGAAAAAGGCTATCCTGAAAGAGTTAAATTGGTTTCTTGAACTCGCGCGTTTTGTTAGCATCATGATTAAAACACACAAAAATACATTTGGGTGAAAAATGTTTAAACTTGTCAGGCATGCCTGATTTCATTTACTGGTGGGTCTCTTCATTAACATGGATAACTAATTCAGAAACAGAAACAAACCAACAGTGTAAGAGCATTGATGCACACAGCTGGCTCAAGGGCTAGTTATATGAATGGTCACAATATGAATGACAGAAAACGGCAATACTGATCACACATAGTGAACTGTGTTGACCCTATTATGTGACAATAATTATTCACTTTTAAATAACAGATTAATTAACTGACTGGTTTGCCTTCAAGGTATTGTAAACACTGAACTATACAATATACATTATGTGTTTCTATGCTTAAGATATATAACACACAAAATTGAATATGGATTACAATTTTCTTAGAACAAGGAAGGGATAACTCCCCCTCCCCCTTACTGGGTTAAGTTACTACCCTAGTTACTAGGATATATTACTAGCTTCTAAATGTCATAAATGTTTAGAAACCTCTGAATCTCATGAGAATATGGGTATTTCACACAATCTATAAAACAAACCATGTAACATGTGGCAATATTTGTAATACATGCAAAAACACAATGGGGAGTGTATTTAACTGGTTTCTGTACATGCAAAAACACTATGTGGAGTGTATTTAACTGGTTTCTGTACATGCAAAAACACCATGTGGAGTGTATTTAACTGGTTTCTGTACATGCAAAAACACCATGTGGAGTGTATTTAACTGGTTTCTGTACATGCAAAAACACCATGGGGAGTGTATTTAACTGGTTTCTGTACATGCAAAAACACCATGGGGAGTGTATTTAACTGGTTTCTGTACATGCAAAAACACCATGTGGAGTGTATTTAACTGGTTTCTGTAGATGCAAAAACACCATGGGAGTGTATTTAACTGGTTTCTGTTCATGCAAAAACACCATGGGGAGTGTATTTTGGAATACACTCCACACGGTGTTTTCACATCTACAGAAACCAGTTGAATACACTCCCCATGGTGTTTTTGCATGTACAGAAACCAGTTGAATACACTCCACATGGTGTTTTGCATGTATAGAAACCAGTTGAATACACTCCACATGGTGTTTTTGCATGTACAGAAACCAGTTCTGGTTTCTTGAGATGATACCATAAAGAGTCAAAAATGCAACAGTACAAAAACAAGTATTACTTTAAAAATATGTTTGCAAGGGACGTAAATAAATAATAAAGAGGATCACACCACATTTACATCCACCCTTAATGTAAAAAACAAATCTTAGAAGACTAACATCAGAAGATATTTTACAGAGATATTTCTCACATGCATCTTAGGTACATGTTGTCATCCTCATATTAACGAAAATATTTACCAGAAGAAAGAAAGAGAAATATTATACTGAGTGTTATGGGATATTTTTCCATGTCCCAAACCTAGATATAGAACTAAGGGCTACAAATAACAAAAATTTAATCTGAAAACAACGTCAACCTTACTTTCTCAAGATGTTCATCACTTCAAAAGCTTTCTGAGTGTGATGAGCATTTTTGTAAGGTGGTTTTTCTCCTCCATTGCATCTAGAACGTGGCAGCTCGACACGACGACACACTGTCAAGGTTCTGCTGTCCTCAGGGGCAGAGCTATCTCAGGAATAAAACAAAAGATCTGGGTTACTCTACTTCTACTTACATACTAAACTCTATTAAAAATACACAGAAATAAACTAACTTCTTTGTACATGAACCCACCATGTTGAAATATCCCACTCATAAAGTTATTCACGAGCCAAAAACTCAAGCTTGAATAAAAAGAGAGGAATGATAAGATAACCCAAATATATTAATTTATTGCATTGAGATTTACAAAATACTTTTAGTAAGATACCAATTATATTACTTAATCAAATTACATAGGCAGAATTGGAAAAATATTACAGTATTTAACTGGACTGTAGGATGGTTGGATTTGATTTGTTTGTAATTAAGCACAAAGTAACACAGTGAGCTACCTACGCTCTGCCCACCGTGGGTATCGAAACCCAATTTCTAGCATTGTAAGTCCGCAAAAATACGGCTATGCCTCTGAAGGGCAAGACGGTTGGATGAGAAAACCCGAGTGATTATTTGGATATATTTATCAATTAATCTATGGGCTATTAAACTATTACATACAACTAATCAATTATTCTAACATGATACTTAGAAGGCTGGAATAAAAGCAGTAATCTGAACTACTAATTTTGATTGGTTGATTATTTTCATGAGTTATGCAATAATAAATTAAGGTTAACAATGCTGAATTAATTGCAATTAATTATGAGAAATCATAATGACAATATTTCAATTGCTTTAATTGTTGGAACAATTGAAAACAGTAATAACTTACACATCTGGGCTTATTCTCACATCTGAAAACAGTAATAACTTACACATCTGGGCCTAATCTCACATTTGAAAACAGTAATAGCTTACACATCTGGGCCTATTCTCACATTTGAAAACAGTAATAACTTACACATCTGGGCCTAATCTCACGTTTGAAAACAGTAATAACTTACACATCTGGGCCTAATCTCACATTTGAAAACAGTAATAGCTTACACATCTGGGCCTAATCTCACATTTGAAAACAGTAATAGCTTACACATCTGGGCCTATTCT